CTACTCAGTTTTATGTGTTAAATTCAGATATGACACTTTTGTGGAGTCCAAGGGGATTATTCTATTCGAAAACCATAGAGTATTAGTCAGAAATGGGGCAAACAAGGTCTCAAGGATAAGATTTTGAGCAAAAATGCTTTACTAGATATGAATATTCACGTGGAAAACATTGTCACTAGAAAGAGCACATTTAGTTGCACTCTTGGTAAAGAAATCTGGCCATGGCATCTGTAGAAACTCTGATCTCGTAAAGGTGACAAAATATTATGAGAGATAATCAGACCTAATCGGAGCGGCTTTGCCAATTATCGATAGAATGAATCGAATATTCAAGACGTTCTCATAGTTGCCGGTAGAAAAAAGAATTCTGTGTCAAATGAATCTGTTGTCGATTAAATAGAATCGTATTTTAATGAAGTTTCTGGTCAAAAGCTAGTTTTTAATGGTGCTAGGGAATGCTTTCAATCTTTCTTATCTGAATACTTTTGAAAACAAATGAGATATTTGTAATCAGCTCACTTAATACTATTGAATTAGAAAGATTTGTAATAGGACCGCGATAAAAATTTTTTTTTCGACACCTGAAGGGAACCCTGGGTGTGAAAAATTGGGTTGTGATAAAGTAGAAAATAAAATTTTGAAAAATAGGGAGGGCTCAATGCTGATTCTCAAGATATTAAGCATAGGTTCAGATTATTCCAGGCTCTCGGTCCCTATTTCGACGCAACTTTTGACGTATTAGAATGTGAGTAATATGTGATAATGAACTAATAAACCAATAATCATTAACTACATGCTTTACTTTATCTTATATTACTTCATTTGACTTTTTCTGTACAGTTAGAGATACTTCACTTTACTTTACTTTTCCCAGTAAAGTAGGCTAACTTTACTGAGTAAAGTAAAGATAAAGTGCCATCCCTACATGGGATCTGCATTTTATTTCATATACTTCAGCATGAATTTCAAAATTTCATAAAGATATTATTTTAATATTTTTGTTTTTGTGGATTTGCATATAATACGCCTATATAAAGTATAACTCATTTTATAGCTAATGTTCTCTTGATTTTGTGAGAGCTGATGCTCTTTTTCTCTTGTATTCCGCTATCTAGTGTAGTTGTTGTTCGGTTTGGATAAAGCTATTGCTTCAAATCATCTTAACGGCCTAAATATTCCTAGCATGAATCATGAATGACTCCGGCTGCGTCAATCATTCGATGAGAAAATCATTTTATCATAATAATTACGTTTTTCTACAGGTTTTATTATGTCTCCTTCGAAGAATGATCCACCAGCAATAATTACTTCAATAGAGATGCATTATAATCGCTGTGAGCACAGCAATCAGTACAAGTCTAAGGTAGATTCTGTTGACTAAACCAATCACGATATAAAGCTGTTATAGTGTTACTACCTGGAAGAGCATGAATTAGTGTATGCTTGTTTGCTGTTCGTCCATCATAAATACCAAAGATATAAATAGGAAACCAAGCATATCATAATCAAAATTGATCAAATAATCATCGGAGCATTCAGCGACAGTGGTGGACTTTTCGCTTCCTTGACATGAAAGTCAGAACCAAGAAGAGCAAGTTCTTCAGCATCCCATCAATATAATCGAACATGATACTTATATTTTACATAAGTAGATATATTGAAAAGATAAGCAAGAGTAACAGCTAAGCCAAGATTCACCGCACTACTACTACCTACCATGAATACAAAAAATGGGTTTTGGAAGCTTTCTTCAAATTTACTATTTACCGTTGTTGTTAATGCTTTAAACAGCTCATATAACATCACTATGCCTATCAAGAACAATTGTTTGAATAATATCACTTGTTAATGCATCAGCACCAAAGTCTAAAAGTAGTTATATTATATATTGATGCAAGTATAGTCTTGTCAGCAAAACTGCAATTGCCTCTTTTGACTAATGCAACTCAACTATAAGAAGAAGTATTTTGTAGCAAGCCAATCGTCATCAGAAACGTCTATATTAGGAATAACACCTATAAAAACATAGTCAGCGAACTTTGTTGATTTTGTATAATTGACCAAATAAAATTCTATCGTTGAAAGACTGGTTGAAAATGTATGACATATAATTACAGCATCGATCGAAGTAAGTAAAATCGGACTAGAAGCACGAAGAAAATTTCCTAAATAAAAAGAAACCGCTGCAATTTTGAAATTTTTATAAGACGGCAGAGTAATAAATATAGATAAGTGCATTAATAGCTCTATATTTTAATTTATTAGAATCTACCAGTAAATTGGAAATTTTTATTAGTTTGAGAGCATGAGACTTGAAAGTGAAAAATAAAAGTGTACACTATGGAATTGCAATTCGAAATTTTCTTTAGTTAAAAACAACAAAAGACGTTGATATTATAAACACACGTTCTCTTTATCGAACTGTTGTTCTTACAGTAAAATATAAGCTTGATAACGTTTTCATAGTTTTTTTATGTCTGCATGATTAATATTCTGATCGATTGGCGAATCTAATGAACTTCGATCATTACATTCTGACATTGTTGTCTCGATGGAAAATAGTATTAGTCTGTGACAGGCTTGTCAAACCTTCTGATTTGACCAGAAGATTCCTGATATAAAATCTCCTGATTTCAGGAGCTGATTTTCAACATTTTGTCCTGATTTCTCCTTATTTTTAGTTTTTTTCATACTTGATTGTTAGCGATATTTTGAACCAATAAAAGAGTTAAAAGGAAAACAGAGAACGATCGCAGTATTTAATAGCTATAGTAATGAATAAGAAAATACTTGCTTTTATTTCATTTTTCTCCTAAAAAAAATCATCAATTACATGACCTATTTGTATACAAAGTTTTTGTTTTACTGGAGATAGCAGAAAAGTACATGTTATTATCGAGAAAACAAAATCTTGAAAATCAGACAAGAGACCGATAGACAAAATTTTAAATGACCAGGCAAGATGTCTCTGATCTGGAAAGAATTTTGCATTTCTTGGAAATCACGTCGGATCCTTCTTAGCTCAGAATAGGACAATATCTTGAATAACATAGCAAGATTCCTACGTTTCATTTTCATTACTAGTATGGAGTTGCTATAGGTTCATGTGCACTGTTATTTTGTTGTCAAAGTTTGATAGGAATTACAAACATGAAAAGAATGAATAGATCTATAATACAACAGAAAAAAAAAGTGAAGGCACCAATAAAAACGAAGCAGAAATAATAGCCATTTCGATAAAATGTTCATTTAATAGATCATAAAAGGCTTAAGAGAAAAACAATTTCGTTTGTTAAAAGTTAACTTATCTTGTTTTTATAGCATATTAACGGTATGAAACGCTCATTGCAAAAATGAGCGAAGAAGCACATGTAAGCGATTCATATAGTGATGTAAGAAACAAAGAATGATTGTCGTTTTTTCAACTCTGGTAAGAGTCTTTCTATCGTTCTATTAATTTATATACATATTTTTGCTTGAACTTCACAATGAAAAAGAATTCTGACTGATAGATCAGAATAAAAAAGAATCTGGAAAGAATGGAGATAAGAATATTAACTGGTCAAGTATACATAATAGATATAAATAAAAAAAATGTTTTCATGATTCTTCTATATAGCAACAAACATTACTTGTGATAGAACTCAAGTGAAAATAATATCATTTGTATTAAATTCTTGATCATCAACTTGATATGAAAGAGATAAAAGTGCTTATGTGAGCGAAAATCCAAATTTTCTACGAGAAAATCACCTAATGTTCTCTTAACTTCAAATAGAAAACCTCCTGATTTCCGAAATCTCAATTTGGCAAGTCTGGTATGTAGCCAAACTTGCATTGAGTGATCGTTGGTTTGTTGTGATTGGATTAGAGATTGTGATGGATGGATCTGTTGCAAAGGTTGTTCTTATAGTCGGTCCTATTATTGTCTTGATGGTATCATCTTGAATTTCATTGAATCGATTATTGACTTTGGCCAGAGTAGCTATAGTCAGACTAAATGTAACAGTTAGAAGAAATGCTCCAATCATAACAACAGGCACTCAAATTTTCATCCATTTAAGAATTTTATATGCATTGACATTGTTCTCCATATATATTGATTCAGTAGAACAAAAGGAAATAAAAATAATGAATGGTGATGGCGATGTTGGTATTTATAAAGTATGATGAGAAAAAATAGAATTGCTGAAAATATTTCATTTATCTGACTTTGAGTAATAGATATTGAGTAATAACTGTAAAACAAGATTTTTAATAAGATGTCTTGTCACGTTATATTTATTATCATGACAAACAATTTTATATCAAATCATTGAGTGTAATATATGTCACGATAAAAAATAAAAATGATGTTGAGATATGTTACTATGTAATTTAAGTTCTAAAAATTTTTTGCTATGTCATCATGATATTGATACGTGACTCTGTAAGCGTATTCAAGTGCACGAAAGTGATTGCTTGACAAATATTTATTGTTTTTTTTTTGTTTTGCATTATTGTATGATGGAGTAATCATTTCACGAATACGTAGGAGATATAATCAAGAGTTCTATTTAATTTTCTGTATATCATCAGAACAATAGAACGATGTGTAGTAACATTCTAAGACCTAGCTAATATAATCAATTATTGATAATTAATCATGATCAATCAATAATATGTATGAGTTCAGATGAAACCTTAATGAACTAAGATATTAACAACGAAATAAAATTGATACAAAACCAATAATATCAGTTTTAGTTATTCGTCAGCATTGACTTCTTCTATGTATGAATAAAAAAATGAAATTCTGTGCCTATCTAAAATATTTGGATAATAAAGAGTTTTTATTTCATTGAAATCTTCTCCACAATATAATGTATTTTCATATAGAATCGATAGAATGATGAAAACTTGGTATGTATGACATCAAAAAAAGAATTTATTGATAAAATTTATTAGACGCATATTAAAATCACTTATAACTATTACAAGAAAGATATGTAACAAAGATTTCATAAATAAGGCATACGAAAATATTCATTTATAGAGTTATACTTTCGTTGTAATAATTGGTTTTTTAAACCCGATGGTCTACCATCAGGATAAAGCCATCCTTTTAAATCATCTTGTCGAGCTAAATATTCTAAAACATAAGCAGCTGCTTGTACCATTTTTTCAAATGCAAATACATTGATATTTTGGATTGAATCACAAGCTTGATGATAACAGGGATCATGAATAGCACCGGCAATACCACCCATACCTTGACCAAGCATTTCATCATAGTAATTACGTTGTTCTGCTGATTTTATATCGTCTCCTCCGGAAAATAAACCACCAGCGACTATTCCTTCAGCTAAAAATGGACCATAATCACTTCGACCACTAAAATCCGTATAAGTCCATGGTAACTTCTGTTGAGTAAACCATTGTTGATATAAAGCTGTAATTTTGTTACTACCTGGCAGAGCATGAGTTGGTGTGTCATTGTTTGCTGATCGTCCATCATAAATACCAAAGATATAATTCGGTGAACCAAGCATATCATAATTAAGATTGATCAAGTAATCATTGAGACGTTCACCAGCAGTAGTATTAATTTTGGCTTCCTTAACATGATGATCGGCACCAAGTAGACCAATTTCTTCAGCACCCCACCAACAAAATCGAACTCGATATTTATATTTTTCGTAAGTAGATGTTTGAAAAAGACGAGCAAGGCTAATAGCTAAACCAAGATTAGCTGCACTACCACTACCTAAAATGAGTATAAAATAGATATTAGAAGCTTTCTTCAAATATATTATTTACCGTTATCGTTAATGCCTGGACCAGCAGGTACACCATCACTATGACTACCAATAATAATTGTTTGAGTAACATCACCTGTTGGTGTATCAGCACAGATATTTCCTATAGGTGATAATGGTAAGTCTTCTACTTGAATAACAAGTTGAACACCTGCATTGTTTGATGGATCTTGAGCAGCATTAGCAAGTTCTTGACCAACACTAGATGAGAGAAATAGAGCAGGTAATTTGTTTTGTTGACCAAGACCAATAGAAATAGGTGACACACGATCAGGTGTTGCACCATCATTGTAGATCAAAATAGCAGACACATTATATTTAGCAGCCAAAATACCCTTGTCTTCAAATGCACAAATTCCTCTTTTGACTAATGCTACTCTTCCAGCTGGTGATGGATTAACACTTTGCCAGTCATTATCTAAGCAACCAACATTGGGAATAGCAGTAAGAGGAATAAAATCAGGAAAATTCGCCCCTATCGAAAATTGAACATGATAGAAGTCGGCAGCAGTTAGATTAGTTGAATATTTGTAACTTTTGGTGACACCATTAATTGATGAAATTAAAGTTGGGATGCCATCAAGAGCAAACTGCCGTATAGGAAAGAATTGTGTGGATACCTTATAGTTAGTATTGACGTTCAGTGTTTTTATAATATAATCAAGTGTTTGATTAAAACCAATTGTGGTAACAGCTCGATTTCCATTGTTAGCAGTAGCTATGCGTTGTAATTCTTTGAGATGGTTCATTACATCATCAATGCGAATTGATTCGGCTAAAACTGAATCAAGTGAATTCGATGTAGACGTTGATCTATTATTTGATCCGTTGTTAACCTTGACTAACGTAGCTATTGCAAGAGCAAGAATAGCAATTGTAATTAGTATTCCGATTCCCATACCACCTATGACTAATTTCATACTTCTATTGTTACTATTGTTATTGGTGCTGATCATTTCGTCGGGACGCGGCATTTTGAGCTACTGTTTTTTTAAGCTTTGCACGGTTAACAACAGAAGAAGAATGTCAAATAAATATAGCTATAAATGCTTATTATTTATTGGCAAAGATAAAGGAGATACGAAAAAAGTATTGATACCCAATACGAATGATACTTCATCTTTGTTTTATTTTATTCGAACAGTAAAATGAAATAAAAAATAAAATAAAATAAACTCAAGAGATTTAGATTTTTATGATTGATGTAAGTAAAGCGAAAAATCTTACATCTACAGTCTTTTCTCGATTGATAGATCTGTAATACCTGTTATAAAATAATAACAATAGAAGAATGTTTTGATACACTGAATTTATTACTATTGCCAAGATTTAAGTCATAAAACGATTTGAGTTATTGAGAAAATAAGAATGGAAAAAATCTACGAAATATTTATTCAACATCTACTATAGGTTGGTATATGATCGAAAATACGAATAAAAAAAATACATTCCTAGATATATGTAGATTCGCCTAGAATCTTTCTTAATACACAGAGAGTAACAGTACTATTTCTATATTCATGTCACACGCATTTTATAGAAGTAAAATATTCTTTTACATGAAATTTGAAAAATTATCATAGTGAAATAATCATTCCTAATTTCGATATCATACAATATTTTCATATAACGTAATTTGAACATATATATTATTAAAAATTTTATTATGAGTTTTCTTAAAACAATTATAATTTGTTGAAGCAATACAAGATAAAAAAACAAACAGCACACGAGTAGTGTTGCAGTCAAGAATATTTGTTGATCAAATAGAATTTTAATTGTTTTATTGCAACAAAAATCAATATTAATACTTAGATTTTATTAATGGGTGTAAGTCTTTATACACAATAACTGCAGACCCACACCCATTTTTGTTAATATTAATATGTAATTGAATAGTTGTGTTTATTGCTATGTGACAGGTTTCTGGATAGTGTATGAAAGCAACAGACTGTGTAAAGCATTTTCTCATCCGAGATGAACTTCGATAGGTGTTAAACGATTAGGTGAAATGTCCACTATTATCTCATACCATCGTCACAACGCTGACGACCAAATAATATTTACAACAAAAGAAAAATTAACGGAAAGTATAATCTATAAGAAAAGCATAAATTCATTTAATGAAACTGATAATATGATTATCATACAAAATGTTTGATCAAGATTATCTCATGATTGAAGTTTTACGTTTCAGTGAAGAAAACAATGATTAATTGATAGTTGTTTGCTCTGACATATTTATGAATTATTTCTAAGAATTGAGAATGATATATTTTTGTTTCTCTAAATAAAAAACTCTGAATTTATCGTTATGCATACTTTCAAATTTTCTTACAAACTCAAGTACTGTTCTTCATTAAATTTTTACTTCGTCTATTATTTGATAGTATGACATTAAAAAATTTAAATAGATACTTCCAAAAAGATTTATGGTATATATTCAAGTTAACCTAACCTACAAAAGAACATGAGACAGAGTCTGATGAATAATGAATTATATTTAGACAAATATACATTTTATAAATGTACTTATGAAAATTCAAGCTTCACATTTCTCAAAGTAGCATATTTTAACTATTATGTAACGGATGATGCAAGATATTTGCATTAGTTTTGTTTTCAAAATAGCATGACAACAAATCTTCATGTAGATTTAAGTGTTTTCTCATTAGACAGAGCAGATTTTTTTAATGTTTCCGGAATTCCGAAGAAAATTTTCATTCACTAAGAATATTGGTCTTACTTTTCCGTGTTTTATCAAACTTTTTAGTGCTATGATAGGGCATTGTAAACAAGTTAAAGTAAAATTCTCAAGTGACCGATTGAGTTTGACATCAATTTTTATTCTAATGCATTTTGCTAATGACATGTGTTCTTAATTAGCACGTGATTTCGAAAAATAAGATTCTTTTTTTCGCAGTCAAAGTTGAGTGAGCTTCGTACAAAAGCATATTATACAAAGTAAACTTCGACAGTTTTTCCGTCCGACTCTCCTTAAAAGTGTTAATTTGAATCTAAGTATTCTACCATAATGTTTAGACATATTTAGAGAACCGAACATAGAGTCGATTCAGAGTCAACTAAATTTTTTTGATAGTAGGTTTTGTTCTGTAATATTTGTTATAAAAGATGATGCATTTTGAAGGTTCGAATATGAAACAAAGTTAAAGTTAAATTCAATTCCGACTTTTTTGAATGTCTATAGATCTTGATAAGACATCCTTGAAACCTGCGAAATACATTAGTTTGTACAGTAACTATTAAAGAACAAAACCTACTATTTAAAAAACGTTAATATATTAAAATGAAATTTCTGGCAAAAAAATTAGATGGTTTCGAACCGATTCCGAAATTGACTCTTGACAATATCCTACATATTTAGGATTCTGTGCAAAATTTCAGCTTGTCAATTCTTATGCATCGTTACATTTATTCATTGCTTTCATAAATTTAAACCGAACAATTATAGTATTATTGATTGTTTAGCGATTGATCAAATTGTTCATAACTATCGAAACTGATGCAAAGCTTGTGTTTGATGAACAACAACAGGTGCATATTCAATTTTATCATCAGTCATTCAATTGATCTCGTCATGTATTCGATATTATTACGAGTGATGTATCATGGTTCTATCATTATGGTTCGAAAAAAAAAAGAAGAACAATTACAAATTGATCTGCTGTACTTTTCTTAATATATGAGAACTGATGATATTAGCATTGTTGAAGGTTGAAGTCATTCTAAATTCAAGTATTTTTCGTCATTTAAAATCTCGACTCACGTCAGTCCACAGCTAAAACCATTATATACTTGATCAATGTTCCTCGACACGTAACCTTTATTACATAATCGTATAATTCATTCTTTGTATCAATGTGGAATCTGATTTAAAATAAAATGTAAAAGAAGTTATGAACAGAAAACGACTCCCGGAATGGATTTATGAAGTCAAACAGTATATTAATAATAATCATTGTTTTCAACACAATCATACTGTATACTTAGATCATTATGGCAAATATTATTTTTTATTTTGTGATCAAATGACCACACATCCAATTAAATTTTTATTTGACAAAATGTATATAAATTGAATCTTAAGTAGATGATTAAAATTCATTTTTGTCAATAGTAAAGAAGAAACAAAGAAATAAAGAAATAAATGAACACTCGTCCTTCAGCAAATAAATCAATGTACAATTTTCTTTCTTGTGTATCTCTATTGATTTTAATTTATAGTTCATTCATAATAGATGGCAAGTAAATGGTTTGTCGTAATATCATTGTATTTTTATTTGATTTTTTATCGAATTCATTCTCGTGAATCTTCACTACAATGTTGGCGATGTGAAGTTACAATTCAATCATCTAAACAAGCTGAAGTCTTTCTTGATGGTAGGTATTGATATTCTCATTGATCTTTATATTTATATTAAACTATCTTAAGATTGTGAAGCACATTTTGATTTTACACAACATACAAGAGAAGATTGTAATGGTAAATGTTGGAAATCAGTTGATTTAATTGATATACGACAACAATTTGAAAATAGAACTCATGATCAATCATTAATAAAATATAAAAATCGATCAAAATTAAAATCAAGTCGTCGATGTTTTTCAGTTGATGAACTTATACGAGCTGCTGAATTAGGTATTAATACATCAGATGGTTGTCGGCAAGTGAAAAAAGATGATCAAAAAATGAAAGAAATTTGTTTTTGTTCAGATCAAGATATGTGTAATAATGCATGTAAATCAAAAATGAATTTTTTTTTGTTTCCATTCAATCTTTTATTTTTCTTGTATATGTCAAAAAAATTATATGACAACTATTAATAAAATACAAACTATCAAATTTATAATTGTTTTATTTAATAGTCAGATTAAAGATCATTTTTCTTTACTACATTTATTATTCAATAGAAACTTATTCTATCTGAACAAAAAAATAAATTATTTGTTCTACATGTTTTGTATTAATGAACAAATGAGTTTTCTTTCGTGAATCGAAACATCTGTATACATGAACAATAATGGTAGATAGTTGTTCGGGAACTGGTAAATAGTTGAACGATGTTCGATTGATATTACACGAAAGTTTATTGAACTCAAAAAACAAATGCTAGTATGAGATGAATAAGATATCTGCTATTAAAACACTCTCATAAGATTTGAGCTGCTTATCTCATAAAAATGAGAACTCCTCATTTAATAGTGAAAGGTTTACTTCATATTTATTTCAAGATAATTGAAATATAGTTTGGTGAATATCAGCTTAGAACAGTTAGATTTTTAAGTTTTTCCTTCGATGGTAATAATTAGTAAGAATCTGAAGAAACGTTCGTGTAACTGAAATGATGCTCTATCAGGATTAGTAAGTCTGAAGATTTCAGTAAAACTGCTTAGATGAGGATCTGTGAAAAAGCAAGACCTCCGAGATTAGCTTTCTGGCTTTCATTCCTGAATTTTGAAAAAAAAATCATTTATTAGAACAAGAAGAGATGTCTCCATCATTTTTCTTCATTGAACTGCATGGAATTTACAGAAAACTCAAGAAGTATTTTTCTTTTCTTCTTCATTGAAAATTTCAATGTAGTTGCTGTGTTTAACTTTCTAGAATCTTTCTTAAATTGAATGCAGTTCGATGAAAGAATGTTATTGAGTGGTCTCATCTTGTTCTATTAAATAAAATCTTTTCCTCAAAAAGCTTCGAATGGAAGACAGAAAGCTGGTTTTAACGATCACGATTTTGTCTCAGGACTTGATTCAGGCAGTTATAGTGGAACCTTTGTGCCTAACAATTTCAATAGAGAATCCTTTCAGCTAAACAAAAGTCTTTTGATGTGAATAAGAAAAGTAGTATAATCTATGTAGCACTCAGATTATCTGATACCAAGGAACTGTAAAAATA